GTTCGCGCTTGCTTTTCAATAAACAACGCGTAGATCAAGGTCCCTGATATATAAGCGCTTCATTCTCAATACAGAGCAATGAAGAAGAATAACAATACTTTTTTTTTAAAGGCATTTTAATTCTCTGCGGAAAGTCGAGCGTTAGCGTCAGTTAGACGTAAGGTGAGACGCAAATTAAGACTTGGGCTATAAATAAACACGTACAATGTAGTAGGCCTATAGATCTAGCAAAATCCGGTTTGGGCAAAACTTAACGGACATGAACACAAGAGAGCAAGTCTGTAAGTAAACTAACAGTAACCGGAATAAGAGAGATAAGATAATACATGTACTTGATTATCCCAGAGGGATTTTTTTCTTTGCTGTACAGGACCGTAAATACACACGCAGGTAGACATAAAAACAAAATTAATTATATGTGAGGCATCGTGGTGGAATCAGGCTCTCGTCAACTTTTGAGCATGTAGAGTTATTGGTATCGTCTTAAAGCTTGTTCACTTGCCTTTATTAGGATGAAAAAAATATCAATTTATCTTGAATACAAGTCGAGATATTTGCAAATGAAAGTGGTGGTGATCACCTGTTTTCAGAGGTAAAATTAGTGAGAAAATGGCCGCCAAAGATTAGTTATTTCCTTAGCTAAAGAGTCCGTGGTAACTGAAAATTTACATTTTTTGTGCCTTTGATAAACTTTTCTCAGAAAAATCCACGCAGAAATAAGTTCTTTAATTGGCATGAAAGGTGTTGAGCCAATAAACAAAAATTTGAAAAATAATTCACAAACCTGCTGAAAAATGCCAGTTTCTTCACTTTGATTATTTTGACGAGAGCCTGATTCCACCACGCTGCCTCACATATATTATTCTCCTCAAAATTCAATATAATGAAAAGAGAAGTAAAGAGGAAAAAATGTACGTTCACATCAGATGTATCATTTAAATAGACGCTTCCTTCAACAGTCGAGCAAAACGGCCTCAACACACACACACACACACAGAGAGAGAGAGAGAGAGAGAGAGAGAGAGAGAGAGAGAGAGAGACGCACACACAGACTCACATTGATCTAGATTGAGAGAAACACACACACACACACACACACACATACACACACACACACACACATACACTCACACACACACACACACACACTATTTACCGAGGGTGTTCTCGAGGGATACCATGGAGGTCTGTTGGGTCAGTGAGGCCATTGTGGAAATCTGTGGGGTAGAAAAAGTGGACAAGTCATGTCGGTGGTCAGTCACAGGACAAGGG